CGTAACACGCCACCCCCTTCCCTACCCGGGCCCCCGTGGGCTGGCAGGACCCCCAGCCCCCCAGCCCCCACCCCGGCTCCAGCAGAACACTGTTGGTTTGGGGGTGTGATTTTAAGAAAGGTATTAGAGGGGCTGGAAGGGGGTGGGAAAGGGAAAAGAGGGACGGAACAGCCCCCGAAGAGCCGCAGAAAGGAACCGGCTGCAGCAAAGCGGGAGAAATGCAATTTTATTTTTTTTTTTTTACAGTTAAAAATGGGGAACGCGATGCCGAGTTGGCGCCGTGCAGCTCATCCCGGGACGAGATGCTGCTGCACGGGACGAGGGGGTGGGAAGCAGTTATGGGGCTGGTAGGGCCCGGGACCAGTAACTGCAGCAAAGAAACCTGCTACAGGCACGGCGGCGCCCAGAGACCCCCTCAAGTTGCTGGCACAGCCCCCCTGTTTGGGTCCCTCCATCCTAAACGAGCTAGTCTGTCCCCAACTTGTGTGTCCAGCTCAGAGCAGCGCGGTGGCCCGTGTCCTGTGTGCGATAACACGCGATATTTCCCACTTAAGAGGTTTCCATTAAACAGACCCCCTCAAGTTGCTGGCACAGCCCCCCTGTTTGGGTCCCTCCATCCTAAACGAGCTAGTCTGTCCCCAACTTGTGTGTCCAGCTCAGAGCAGCGCGGTGGCCCGTGTCCTGTGTGCGATAACACGCGATATTTCCCACTTAAGAGGTTTCCATTAAACACAAACAACCGGTCAGAGCAAAACGCTGCGCATCCCTACGGCTGCCCTGGCTCCGCATGGAGATGGCCGGAATGGAACAGGCTCACGGGGACCTTGCCACCATCCGTCACCCCGCTGCGGGCAGGGACTTCGCTCTCTCCTGGTGCGGATCAGCTGGATGCCGGTTCTTCGTCGAAGTAGTCATTAGTCTAGAAGAGAGGAGAGGGGGGTGATGGGCGGCTTGAAAAGAGGGGACCCCACGTCCCAGCACGTCTCGCCCCAGCTTACCCAGGTTGACCTCCAGCGCGTGGATTTTGCTCTCCAGGTAGAGTTGGCTCCTCCGCTTTCTCCAGCGGCTTCTCCAGGTTGAGCGCCGTGATGTTGTTTAACCGTGAGGCAGTTTACTGGAACAAGAACGACTCGTCACCCACCATACGGTCCCCAACAGCTCAAACTCCACCGTACCCCATCATCTCTACGCCCACCGAAGAGCTCCTCTCCCCTTCGGTTGCAGGGAGCCGCAGGAATTCAAATGGAAGCTCGCAAAGGCTAGGAGAGCATCCAGGGGCAGGACAGCGCTAGGGTCCGGAGCCTTTGGGCTGCTGAGACGCAGCCCTGCGTTTGGGATGGGAGAGGCCGAGCCCCCCAAAACACCGGCGATACGGAG